ATAGGCCCTACTGGCTATGGGATGCCAGGGCTGCCAGGCCCCAAGGGAGACAGGGGCCCAACTGGAGTTCCAGGGCTTCTGGGGGACAGGGGTGAGCCAGGCCAGGATGGGGAGCCTGGGCAGCAGGGCCCACAGGGACTTGGGGGCTCCCCTGGACTTCCTGGATCTGCAGGGCTCCCTGGCAGACGTGGGCCCCTAGGACCTAAGGGGGAGGCAGGGTCTGCAGGGCCCCCAGGAGTGCCTGGCATTCGGGGTGACCAAGGGCCCAATGGCTTGGCTGGTAAACCTGGGCTCCCAGGGGAGAGGGGGCTTCCTGGGCCCCATGGGCCCCCTGGACCAACTGGGCCCAAAGGTGAACCTGGTTTCACTGGCCACCCTGGGGGACCAGGGGTGGCAGGAGCCCTAGGGCAGAAGGGTGACTTGGGACTCCCTGGGCAGCCTGGCTTGAGAGGGCCCTCAGGAATCCCAGGACTCCAGGGTCCTACTGGTCCTATTGGACCCCAGGGTCTGCCAGGCCTTAAGGGTGAACCAGGTGTGCCAGGTACCCCTGGAGAAGGGAAGGTGGGGGAACCTGGCATGGCAGGGCCAACAGGGCCCCCTGGGGTCCCCGGCTCTCCTGGACTCACAGGTCCTCCGGGGCCCCCAGGACCTCCAGGCCCTCCTGGCGCCCCTGGGGCCTTTGATGAGACTGGCATTGCAGGCCTGCACCTGCCTAACGGTGGCGTGGAGGGCGCTGTGCTGGGCAAGGGGGGCAAACCACAGTTTGGACTAGGTGAGCTATCAGCCCACACCACGCCCGCCTTCACCGCTGTGCTCACCTCACCCTTTCCCGCCTCTGGCATGCCTGTGAAGTTTGACCGGACTCTCTACAACGGCCACAGTGGCTACAACCCAGCCACTGGCATCTTCACCTGTCCCGTGGGCGGTGTCTACTACTTTGCTTACCATGTGCACGTCAAGGGCACCAGTGTGTGGGTGGCCCTGTACAAGAACAATGTGCCAGCCACCTATACCTACGATGAGTACAAGAAGGGCTACTTGGACCAGGCATCTGGTGGGGCAGTGCTTCAGCTAAGGCCCAACGACCAGGTCTGGGTGCAGATGCCCTCGGACCAGGCCAATGGCCTCTACTCCACGGAGTACATCCACTCCTCCTTTTCAGGATTCTTGCTCTGCCCCACATAGCCCTCGAAGGGGCCCTACGGCTCTGGCGGCCTCTTTAGTGGTAGAGACTTGTTAAGTTACGAAGAACCTCCATTTAAAGAAAAAACCCAAAGTGGAACAGAGGCGGCTATGGCCTTGGCCAAAGGACACGGCCCTGCTTTTCCCCGACAAGTGGGCTGAGATAATTTCTGGAAGAGGCTGGTCTGAGTTTCTCTCCCTGTGTCTCACCCAAGTATCTGTGTTGGGACTGCATCTGGATTCCTGCCCTGCCTGGTCTGGAGGCAGGGTCCCCTCCCCACGTCAGCTCAGCTGTAGGAGACCATACCCTGAGACCTGGGCTCTGTGGGGCTCCTTTCTGAGTCAGAGCTGAGAGCTGGGAGGGGCCGCACTACACTCCCAAACCTGCCCTTCCTCCTGGGACCAAGATGGCACCTGCTTGAGGAAAGGGGTATGGCTTCCCCTACGATCCTGGGCTAGGGCTGTTCCAGCTCCTTTCAGACCTCCAGCAGATGGAGGAAGTTTCCCTGAAGCAGCAGGGAGGAGAGAACCCATCTAGGTTGTTAGTGGCCATGGGCGGGTACAGCTGTGAGACCCTCTAGGATCCTGGGAATGGTCAGCCCTTCACTGCTCCAGTTGCAGCCTGTTAGGGTGGGACACAGACCTGAACAAGCAGCAGCTTTCTTTCATCATCTCCATCTCCCACGCTGCCCTCATTAGGGCAGTGATACATCACATGCTGAAGTGTGGAGCACAGGTCTTGGCATGAGGCAGGTTCATTAGGTACCAAACAAGTGTGCCTCTTCTACCCCATCACCCACCTGCTAGTAATGTGTGTGTGTGTGGGATAAAACTGCTTTTCTCTCACAAAATGTTAAGAGGACCCTCCCTTGCTGCCCCAAACCCAAGTGTTCCCAAGGCAGAGTCTCCCATTTGGCCAGAGGTACACACACACTTAGGGATGAAGACGGCTTCAGCTTGCTTTTCCTAATAGGAACCACGTGTACTAGAGGGGTTAATTGGGGGGAGGGGTAGGAGGAGGCTTCCTCTTCTGCTCTTACTCTGGTTCCAATTTCCTGTTTTAGGTAGCATTAGGGACAAGGATGCTAAGGGTTTGAGAAGGAGGGTTGGAATGAGTTGCCTCTGGAGGCTTCCATGCAGACGCAGAATCCGGTTCCCATACCCTTGGTCCCTAGCTCCAAAACTGAGATTAGTGCTGGGGGAAGGTTAGGGCTCATTTTTGCCCAGGTAAGAATGGCAGGTTTACCAGAGGCTCAAGGCTTCACCCACAGCTCCCTGCCAAGCCAGACCACTTGCTTGTACCAAGTGTGAGCCTGGGTTATTCAATGTGTGATCCTGTCAAACTGCTGCGATCCTGGCCAACTCCAAACTGTCCCTGTGGAAAACGGAGGTGACCGCTGATTTCTTGAACACACTGAGCTGTGGCTCCCTTGGGCCCCCTCCAAACACAGCACGCTACTTGACTACTCATCTGGATTTTCTAATGGAGAACCTGCCCAAGTGACCAAAGATCTTGGCTGTGATTTTTGGTAGATTTCTTATTCTCAAACACCCAAGAGAACAGGAAAGTCTTAAACCATACCTGGTGGGGTCTTGTGCTCTCAACCTGCTGCTTCCCTAAGTCAAAGATGACCAGCATCTGACCTCTGACAAGGGGTTTCTGATTGGCAGGAACTAACCAGCTTCCAATGGGAGCCCAAGGGATCCAAGAGGGAACCAGGGGACACATACAGAAAAGCTGTCACAGAGCTGAGCTTCCAAGTTTCATCCTGAAGAGGTGACTGGTGTTTAGGGAATTTTAGTTTCAGATGCCTACTTAACTGACTAGCTTTGATAAACATGTCAGATTTAGCTATGTAAATGACCTTACCTTGTGCATTTTTTAATATTCTGGTCCCCAATTCTTTTTGAAGATTAAGGTTTCAATGTTTGCCATTAGTAATTTCATTTCTGACTTGGTGTGGAGCTGGAGGATAAGCACTGGACTGCTAACCAAAAGGTTGGCAGTTCAAATCTACCAACCACTCCTTGGAAATCCTACAGGATCTTGGAGTCGGGACTGACTCGACGGCACTTAACAAGTGTTACAGGAGATTCAGGAAAAATGTACTTGGGAATCCAAGAAAATGGGACTTCTTTTTGAACAGAACACCTAACAGAAGTGACTGTACTGACACGACCCAATAAAACCTGGTGTATGAAATCACCCTGTGCTGACACTGGCCTCGATGCAGATGGGTCTAGTGTCTAGATGTCACGACGTCCTCTCAGGAGTGTGGCTCCTCAGATCAGCATTCTGTCATCACCACGTCAGACGTGCTCCCTGCTCCTGAGGCTCTGCACCAAGCAATGCTGAAAGGCGTTTTAAGAAACCAGAGGCAGGCTGCTGGGGGAGATGCACCAACCTTCCCTGGAACATTCCTGCAAGCTCTCAGGGGTAGCGGAGCATGACAGCTGATTCTCAGGATCCCAAGAGCCAAAGTTTCAACATCTGATACAAATTATGAATGAAATCATAAATCTTTGCTCCTGTGGGCAGGGCTATGCCACACCCAACCTTAAAGATGGGGCTGGGGGAATTGTCCAGGGCAGAAAGCGCCTGTTTCAGTCTGTACAGGGATGTCTCCAGCTCTGGGGATCTGGGACAGCAAACTGTGCAGTGCCTCAGGCTGGCTGAGAGCCGGCTAGACTGGAAACCTCAGGCTGGCTGCAGAGCAGCCCTGCTTCTCTCCTCTGTGGAGGCTGGAGGCTGGGAAGGATGCTCAGACATCTCCACAGCCTCACAGTGGGGGAGGGCATCCCCTTTTTCCAATTTTCCTTTCCTCAAAATGGATGCTGTGCAAAACGCCTGGCCTTTCTCTAACTGGAGCCTAAGATAGAGAATGAAGCACGCAGTATTCTGAGAGGATGTGCCCTCCCCACCAGGTGACAGAAGGGGCCCTCTGCCAACTTTCACATAGTTCCTCTGCCTGGTCCAGCAGGGGTCTGGGTCCTATTTGGGGCACAACCTGCGAAGCAATCAGGCTGTTATAGGAGGACAATCTGGCTTGTTCCTGCCCACTGCCTTAGCAAAGCACTTGACCCAGCTGCCAGGGCCACTGAGGGCTTTCCAACCAGCAACCCCACCACATCGCGTCTGCTCTGCCCTTCCCAGACAAATACCACCATCAGTCGGAAGAACTCCTGGAGGAATTTGCCTCGACACAACAGCTCATCGGTTTGGGTTCTCAGTTCCTCAGGGAGCGTAGTCAGGCAGAGAGGCAGCAGGCTTGAGAAAGACAAGCTGTCCGGTGAAAAGAATCTGCTCAGGACAGATGGAGAAACATGGGCAATAGTAGTGGGTTTTACCAAGAACTGTTTATTGCTTGGTGGCTTCCACTGGAAGCTTATTAAACCCACAGCAGCCAAGGGCCAGGTATGTGGCTAGATCAGCTAGACACACATACTCTGCCCTTGATCTCTGCAACATGCTGTCGCCGGGGCCCTGTCTAGTCAAAAAAGACAGGTTTTCTGGAAAATTGGCTAAAACCCAACAGAGACAAATGATGCAACTGTAGATCATTTCCACCTCCCCAAATCCCGTATTCTAGATAATAAAGAAAAAAGCCAGATGTATTCCTCCCAAAGAAAGCCTGCCCCGGTCCCCAGGTCTTCTGGCTGAGGAACTGGGAACTCAATATCAGAGAAGCACCCATCCCTCACTCACTGTTCCAGTGACCATCCCTGATGCTCCCTGGAGGGGAGCAGGCAAAGGAGCCCAGCTGGTCTGAGCAATAGTTGGTCTCGCTGAACATGGCAGGACCCAGAAGCTGGGGACCTCACAGACTCTTCTGGAAGAGCCGGTGCAGACTCTGCGCCAGGAGGTCTGTCTCCTCATAGCCCTCACAGCTTTGCTGCCAGCTCTCGGCCACCTGCTCCATCCCGTAGTAGGCACCAGCAATAGCCCCGGCCATGGTGGCAATAGTATCTGTGTCCCCACCAAGTGAGATGGAATAGATGAGAGTCCTTTGGAGGCTATTGAAGGTAGATGGGATCTCAGGGTCCGGCTCCATGCAGCGCAGGAAGCAGTATATGGCGGTAGGTACAGATTCAAAGGCAGCGATGCCATTCCCTGCAGGAAGCCAGATCGTGGGATTTGACTTACATCCTGTGCCCCTGAATTCCTGCCAAGCTTCAAGTTAGGCTGTGACTAATTAAGATCACAGGATCCAAAGTTGGACAGTTCCAATCCTGGTTCTACCACCTCAGCTGTGTGATAAGGAAGGTTACTTAATCACCGAGATTTCCGTATGTGGGATTTGATTCTTCCTCAGGGTAGAGTGAGGAGTGAGTATAGTTAGCTTCTACACTGTTGTGAGGATTTAAATGAGATCATATATGATGGGACTTCAAAAAGTCCATGGAAAAATTCTATTTTGTCAAGAACCAGCCCTCCGTTTCTGTTCATCTCTAAGGGGAAGGTCAAGTAGCTCCAGAGCAAGCAGGTTCTGTGCTCACAACCTAGTCCAGGGCCCTGGTTGTCATGTCCCTCCCTAAGCCCACGTCTGGCCCAAGGCTGACGGGTGGGGGACAAATCATACTAGAGTCTACCCACCGAGCTCAGTCACCACCTCCTCCCTGGTCACCGAGTGCTGCTCGAGAAGCTCTCCAATCTTCTTCAGTCGGCTGCAGTATGGACGCTCCTCCATGCCTAACCTGTGAGCGTGGGGAGAGGCGTCAAGGTCAGTGCCAACACGATGGAGCTGCAGGCAGCGGGGACTGGCTGACTACGAGGGTGAGGCAGATATGGACAGGCTGCCTGTCCTGAGTAGGGAAGACCTGGGTGAGGGCTAGTGCTGATCTGGTTGGTCCTCTTTGGGACTAAGAACCCTGAGACACATAGCCCAGGCCAAAGAGCTTCTTCCCAGGCCTCCCACAAAGCTGCAACTTAAGAACAGGTTTTCAGCCTTGTGATAAGGCGATGGGCTTTCCTGACTCCGGTATGCAAACACTCACATACGCTTTTAGCGCTGCCTCTCCCCGGTACTCACTCCCTGGCATCCGAGAGGGACTGGGTGTCACTTTCCAACTCTTCCATGTGACCCAGGAGCTGCTCAAGGAAGTGCTCGCTGGAAAATTCACCCTGCAAAGCCAGATGCACAGCCAGGGCCTGCAGGATGGCACCGTTGTAGCCCAGGGAAGAGGCGTGTGTCAGCTGGGCTGAGAGCCGGGCAAACTAGGGAAAAGGCACACAAACAGCAGTGTCAAACAACCCATGTTGTAGGAGAGATGGGGAGAGAAGAAGGGGCATGTTCAGCGTGAATACCTTCTGCACATCCTGGACACTGTCATAGGCCAGGGAGATGCCAGCTACCCGCATGGCACCCCCATTGCCGTAGGAGCCTTTCCCGTTAAACTGGGCCCGGGCGGGCTCGTAGACATCACGGCACTTGGGGCTCAGGAGCTTCTTGAAGACAGTAATGACTCCGGCACCATACCCCCTGTCAGGGTCCTTCTTGTACTCCTGAGCAAACCTGGGGGAAAGGACATGGAACTGGGGTTCACTCGGGACCCCCCAGGACAGGAGAAAGGTCTGGCTGCTTGGGGAGCCTTGGGTGCTGATGTGTCTGCATCAGCAGTGCTGGCACGTCTGCCTTAGGAAGCTTCAGCTCTAGAAATGGCGTCCTGCTGAGTGTCAGGACCCCACATGCGCACGGACATCAGTGCTCTGCTCAAGCAGAGCAATGACTCTGCCCATCTTACCCCAGGGTCCTCTCCCCTTACCTGTGAGCCATGTCCACCTCGTCGAAGGCCTCCTTAGCCAGCAGGGACTGCACCAGGGCCCGGGCCATGGCTGTGTCATCTGTGTAGTACAAGGCTTCTGTGGGGAGAGGACAAGCAGAGGGGTGAATGAGGTGCATGGAGTGAAGGCAGGGGCCCTTTACTCTTTCTTTTAAAAGTGACGACATCCAAAATGACCTTTAGCCAGCTGCTCACTCCCGTTGTTCATGGGGCTCTAGACCTTGGGGTTTTCAGCAATTTCTCCTTCTGAGTCAGTCTCCACATCCTGCTGGTTTCTGACGAAAACCTCTCATGTGGCTGCCGTCATTGCAGCTCCATTCTTCATGCAACCTGCTTGGGCTATAGCGAGAGCCTCTCCCCTCCCCACATGTTCCCTGTTCTCCAATCAAATGCAGCCATAAAATTCTCCCTGAGAGCACAGTACCCCTGCTCACCTTATTCTCTTGTTGCCTTTGGGATGCAGTCCCAACTCACTGCCTGGACATTTGAAGACCCAGCCAGCCTAGCCCCTTCCTTCTGCCTCTGCCCTAGTCCAACAACAGACTGTGGAGCTTGAGGAAAGTCCTTTCCAGCTGGGGCTGCTCTTCCCATCTCCACCTTGGCCTGTCTCCTTCCTCTGAGTGCCTGTGAATCTGGCACTTCTAATGTGACATTTTATTTTATTTTGACTTCTCAGGCTATAACCTGCTCCAGTCAAGAACCTGGTCTTCTGTGAAGATATGGTTACAGAGAATGAAACAGTTTGCTGTTTCCCACTCTTCACATTCCCTATTCCGTGCTTCTCGAGCCCCTAGGTGGCCCTCTCCCCCGCATCCTTCCCGGCTTCCTTAGGAAGAAAGGTTACCAGGTACCTTGGCCAGAGCTGTACTCTTCAGTCTCCTTTTCATTCTAACATGAAGCCCACCCCCGCCTATCTCCCAGGGACCTTGCTCCTTCTCTTCTGTGGCCTTAACCTTTCCCTCTGTGGTTGAGTAGAATCCAGTCCTGCTTCGTTTGGCCACTGCAGTTGATTTCTGGCAACAAACCAATTCTCTACCATTCTCAGTAGCCCGGATCCCCACCTTCGGCCTGGCTAGATACGGCACCCATTCCCTTGTTCACCCAGAGGCATCTCAGGCCTGGAATTCTACTGGAAAATCAACCATTGAAAACCGCTTCGGTCACAGTTTTACTTTGACACCGTTGAGGTCACCAAGAGTTAGAACTGATTCAACAGCAACTTAGTTTTGAAGCCACACTTCTTGGTTACATCCGTTTACACGACACCAGAGCTGGGAGTAGGTACAGAGGCTAAGTGCTGACTACTATACAAGGGGGAAGAAGAGGAGAGAGCTCTAGAGACAGGGGGCAGCACATGTAAAGGCCTGGGGTTAGAGGAAGCACGATGTGACAAGGAACCGAAGAGCAGAAAGCCAGGCCCCACAGGCCAGGGGCCTGGTAGGGCTCCTTAAGGAACTGGGCTTGTCTTTAAGGTTAAAGGGCAATCACTTCCGTTTTATGCCGACAAAACGATGCCATGTGTTTTGTAATGAGAATTCACAGCCCTTTGGAGTCAAGATTGTAGAGACAAGAGGAAAACAGGCAGCGGAGTGTATAGCGGAGCAGGCCCACCTCAGAAAGAGGACGCCCAGGTTTTTGCCTGAGAAGAGGGTGTGGCTACCACCTCTTCCCCCGCCCCCCAAACTGGAGAATGCCCGGGGGCAGGTTTCTGGAGAGACGTGCCTCCAGACTCCGCCCGTGCTGCCTTCGCCAGCTCATCTCGTTCGCACCCCGGAGTCTCCCTCCTTCGCCCAACGCCGGTTTCGACTCCCTCCCCAAGAGCTTCTCTGCCTCCACTAGCCCAGGCGCCCCTCCGTCTCACGACAGGCGGTGCGCGCCCCCGGGTGCCCGGCCCCGCCCACCTGTCCGCGCGCTGCCCGGCGTGCCGGGGTCCGGCTCCAGGCTCTGCACGTGACGCAGGACTGACGTCAGGCTGACGGTATCGTACGCCTCGTAGATGGCGCCCACGCAGTCCCCGAGCAGTGCGCCAGCCAGGCAGCCTCGGAAACGGGAAAGGGAGCGGGCTACACCAGCCCCTCCGCATCCCGCCGCCGTCATCGCCACAGCCGCCGCCGCCATCCACGCGCGGGTCAGTCACCACTTCCGGTGCTGTCGGCACCCTTCCCACGGTGCCCCACCCACCGCGCCCCACAGCGCCTCCCCGTGGCCTGGAGCCCCATCGCCGTTCCACGGCCCACAGCGCCACCCAGCGGCCCGGAGACGCCGCGCCGCGCTTCCCCAGCGTGGGTGACTAGCCGGGGAACTTGCGAGATTTCTTTTCCGCCAGGCCTTCAGTTTTTGGTCTGCATTCTCGCCTTTTGAAGAGACGTCACAGCGGGCCGTGCCGGGCCGTGCCGGCCGTTAAAGGGGTGGACATGGCGACTTAGCTTTGCGAAGGCTCGCTGTGTGTCCCAAGCACCCCTGATTACCTGGTCCCACTCACTCATGGCAGCCCTAGCCTCCCGCCAGTACTCACATCTTGTTCCCACCCAAATTCTCCCTCTGCAACTTTAGCCCCCTCTGGGCCTACTGTAGACATCAAAAGGCAGGACAGGTAAGGGTCCAGATGGGGCAGAGCTGATGCGGCAGTGTTGCTAGGGTCCATAGGGTCCAGAGAAGGGTTCACTTTGGAGGAGGAGTTGGATTTAGAATTGAGGATTTGGGGGAGTGATGCTCCCCATCTTTGGTTCCCCATACATTGGGGGGCCAGGCACCCTCTACTGCTGGCTATATGCTGGGGTAGCAGAGAACAGTCTGGCATAGCACCCTAGCATTTATTAGTTTCAGTCTCTCTCCCCTCTCTTGCGTCTCCCACCCAACCTCCCTCTTCTACTAGCCCCTCAAGGCTAGGCCAGCTCCAGCTGGCGACTTTTGAGTGGACTCAGGGTGCGGTGTGTGGTGCGGGTGAAGGTGTCCACCTCAGGCACAAACTTCTCTGCGGGCACTGTCAGCTTCCGACGTGTGTCCATGCACTTGGTGTCCAATAGCATGGAATTAGCCTTGCAGGCGATGTCAGCCTGCAGCCGGGCCAGATGCTTGTAGAGGGCGTCTAGAGCATCCCTGGAGAGGAAGCATTAGTAATCCACCACCCCAAGCTGGAACTCCTGGGGTGACGCTGTAGGATCACCACTGGATGGTGAACCACAAGGTCGGCAGTTCAGACCCACCAGCTGCTCCTCAGAAACCCTATACAGGGTGGCTATGAGTCCGAACTGACTCCATGGCACTTAACAACAACAACCCCTACCTGAGGCTGGGAGGTTTGGGCTGGACTTTCAGTCAAGATAAAACCCAAGGAAATCAGCAGGCCACAGGTGGGCGGTGTCTCCCTGCCCCACCTGCTGACTCCTCAAACCTACTGTGCTTGGGCCAGCTTCTGCTTCAGGGCAGCGATGGATGCCTCCAACTGGTGAACCTCATCGGTGAGGCCATATTGTGCCTGGAGGCAGAGGGGAAGTTGGGAGCTTAAGGTCAGTTATAGGCCTATCCAAGTTCCCTTACTCCACCAAGAATATATGGCAGATGTGATTCTGAGGACACTAGCAGGAGACACCTGTGCCCTACTAGGGTACCCTCACACCTGATCCCGGCAGAGTTCCACATTGGGCCGACAGGTTCTGTACTCTAGCCGAGTATGTGATAGCTTCAAGTTCAGAAACTTTCTCCGAAGATCCTCTTCCAGGTGTCGTATGTCCTCCTGCAGATTGGCAATCTCTTCCAAGGTCTGCAGGGGACAGGGTGCCTTGTTTCCACCAGCTGAACCCACCCCAGAGCACCCAGTTCAGTCCAGGGCCTTCCTGGGTGCCTCAGCCCACAATAGGAATTCCAGATCCTAGGAGATGAAACCAAGGCTCACATTCTTTTCTTGCCACCTGAGCTCACTGTACACTTTCTCAGTCTCCCGAAGCCGTTTCCTGAAGGCAAAGTCTGTTGCCACCCTCTGGGCTTCAAGTTCATTATTGGTCTGAAGGACAGGAAGTAGAGCAAGAAGAGAATATAAACTCATGGTCATCTGAGGACACTGTTGATGGGGAAGGGGAAGTTGAGGGGAAGGGGTGCCACAGGGCTATCCTGTCACCCTATTAGCCATGGAGGAGCTAGGGCAGGCAGTGGTCAGTCACCTCAGCAATAGTTAGGGCAATGGCTTCCCTCAGTTCTGTGGCTGCTTTCATCTCCGCCTCTGCCCGATTCTTGTTGAAGTGACTGAAGTCATCCCACTGCTGGAGTGTGGAGGAGCTGCAGGTGGCAGGGGATAATGGGTTCATGAGGGTCTGGGCCTGCGAGTGAATGATGGGAGGAGGAGAGACTAATTTAAACACTTTTCTTACCCATCAGGGACACGGGTAGGGTTGACCTTTAGGGAGACATTTGGGGAGTTGATGTTGAGAGACAGGCAGCCTCTGTCGATTTCCAGTGTCTCCATTTTGCCCCGATGGTCAGAGTTGAGTTGCTGTCGGACTTCCTGCAGGAGGCTAGGGAAGGGGCAGACATAATCACAAACCATCCCTAAAGGCCCCAGGGCACAGACCCTATTGTACTGAAGGGACACTGAGTGATGGGGACTCTGGGATAACCCTTCTCAGCAGAAGACAATGAAGCTGCTGCTTCACTGGGACAAAGACTAGCACAGCGGGATGAGCTTCTCATGACAAAATCATGACACTCAAGTGCTTGCACACACCCACAGGGGAACATGTATGAGGATGCTTCAAAAAGTCTGTGGAAGAATGGAATGAAAAGAGAATGGAATTTTTCCATAAACTTTCTGAAGCTCCCTTGTATGTAGTTACATTCACAAAGGTATGCACAGACACACACGCACACGCACACACACACGCATCAGTTCCTGATGGTTGCCTAGAGCAGGGCTGTGAGAAGAATTCTGAGAGCATGTCCAGGCAGTGGAAATGGCGGGCTCTGCCTTGGATGCAGGAAAGGCAAAGTTATACATCTATTCCCCATTCGAAGCCCTCAACCTCTAAGTGTGTGTGAAAATGTGAACACCACATTTGCCCCTTACCAGAGCTGCTCGAAGGCCTGGTTAATTTTCTGTTGCAAGGCCTTCTTGGTGGCATCAATAACCTCTACTTCTTTGTGCAGTTCATCTTCCACAGTGTCAGTCACCACGTCAATGTCTCGCCGACTGTCCCGTAGGGTCAGGCACTCAATTGCCACATCCAGAAGCAAGTTCTTAGCCTGCAAGGTTTGCTCAGCCAACTCCTTCATCTAGGAAAGAGAGGGGACAGGGAAGCTGATAGAACCATACATTGGAAAAGACCCCATCTCCACATTATTAGAGGCCAGTGAGGGGACTAATCAATCACCCAGTTACTCCATCAGAGGTTATTTGACCCAGAAAAGGGGAGTGAGGGGGAGCCCTCAAAGCAATGTCTCCTGGCACCCAGCCCTAGCTTCCTGCCTGTGTCAGGGTTTCAATCTCAGCATCTAAATCTGTTAGACACTTGTCCAGCATCTCCTTCCACCGGTTGACAGTATCAATCCTTTCTGCCAGTCGAGTCCTGTTGTCATGTTCATCCCAAAGGGTCTGGAAGAGACAGAGCCAGATAAGGAGGGTGACCTTTGTTGGGGGCTGCCCCTTGACCCAACCAACTAGGCTCCCACCCCAAACCTGGTTGTTGGTCTCATTGCAGAGGGCACGGGCCTCCTGGCGGATCTGATGGGAAGCATCTCGCTGCCGCTCAGCATTGGTGGACAACAAGTAACTGCTGGTGTGCCAATCAGGCAGCCGGAAACGCTGACTCGGCTTGACACTAATGGTAGTCATGGTGCAGGGGCTAGAAGGGTTAGGAACCCTTAGGTCTGTTTAAAGATACCCACTTTTTGCTGGAGAGAGGGGAAAAAAGACTTCAGTAAACCAGTCAAGAGACTCTCTTATAGGTAGAACATTCCTTTTTTCTCTAAAACCCACCCTCCTGCAGGAAGCCTTCTTGGGAACAGCCCAGGCTTTATTCAACTTTGTGTGAGGCATTAACTAGGTTTCCTTTTAGCCATCCACCCACAGGCACCAATCGGTGCCCGGTGCCCCTTGCAGTCCTTGGAGAAGGTGAGAGGGGCTAATGGAGTCTCCTGGGTGTGTGTAGTTAGTGCCTGGTGGGGAGTTGACTTTAGGCTGAGCTGGAGGAAAAATGGCCCTTAATCCGATTTCCAACCCCCAGGGCTCCTTGAGCTTCCCCCTTTCCCCTTTTCCCTAACTCTGGGCAGACCTGGGGGTAGGGGGGATCTAAGAAGAGAGGGAGTCCTGTTCTCCGTCCAGGGAGAGAACAGACTAGTTTTGCAGGGCGGGTAAAGGTTGGCAACTGGGGGTGGGGTACCTCTGCCTACCTCCCCTACCTCCCCGTAACACTCCCTCCACTCCCTCTTGGGGAATTAAGAAGGGGTGTGTGAGGGACCCCTCCAGTGGGAGGAGCACAACCGAACCCGCCCCTTCTCAGGATAATCATTTTTGGCTGGAATTAATACCCTAGCCCTGGCTCGCAGAAAGGCGGAAGGAAGCTGGAGGGAGCTCAGCCTCAGTGGGTGGGACCCCCTCCAGTGGGAACCCCCCCAGCCACCCTTTCTACCCTAGTCCTCTTACCTCCTTTCCCAGATAGCACTTCGGCCTCTCCTGGCTAAGCTTCTTTGTTGTTAAGCACCTCCAGTTGCTAGGCGACCGCCCCTCTCCCGGCGCAGTAATCAGTGGCCTTGGTGTTTGGCCTGGCGACAGGAAGCCCTATAGAACCTGAAAGTGGCGCTGCCCCGACTGCAGCAAGAGCAGGGTAGGGTAGGGGGCTGGGACTGATGGAGAAGATGTGAGGAAGAGGGAATAAAGTTATCACATTCATTTAAACGTTTTCTTATTTTGGCAAAAATTATGCTTATTGTTAAGTGCTGTAGAGTCGATTCCGACCCACAGTGACCCTGCATAAGGTTTTCGAGAAGCAGTTGGTGAGCTTGAACCTCCAACCTTGTGGTTAAAACCTACTTTGCAGTCCAGCGCATTAACCCACAGCACCACACCAGCACTTTCTCTCCACATTATATGTTGTTGTTGTTGTGAAGTGCTGTCGAGTTGATTCCGACCCATAGCGACCCTGTATAGGGTTTCCAAGGAGCAGCTGGTGAGCTTGAACTGCCGACCTTGCAGTTCAAACAGCTTTTCAGTCTGGCGCATTAACCCACAGGGCCACACCAGGGCATATATAATGGCGTCCTGGTGTAGCGCTGTGGGCTAATGCGTCAGACTGCAAAGTCAATAAGTAGGATAAGCACTGGACTGGTAGCTCAAAGGTTGATGATTCAAATCTACCAGTTGCTCCTTGGAATCCCTATATAGGGTCGCTATGAGTAGGAATGGGCTCAATGGCACTTAACAACAACAGCAACAATGAATATGTTTGAATTTGGGATCGATTTTCCCCTAGAAAAATCCAAACCCAGGCTGTCTGGTCCCAGAGGTCAAGGTCAAGTTTGAAGCATGAGGGAAAAAGAATCCAAGAAGAATGTCTGAGTTAAAAAAAAAAAAAAAAGTCTCAGTTTTAAAACCTCAGGGATTGGTGGGATGGTATTATCTTTAACAGAGGGTAAAAAAGGAACAGAACCAAATACTTGGTGGGATTGGTGGGAGAGGGGAGGATGAGACTTTTGAGGTGCTTGTGGTAGATCCAGGTGCTGCATAGCAGGTAGAAATGCTAGTCTGGAGCTTAGCCAACACTGAAGCTACAATATTTTCTCACACTTACTTGATCCCAGAACATTTTTCTCCCATTGAATATTTTATAATCTCTAAATAGGGTTTGTCCCTATATGATACAAATAGTTAAGTGCTCAGCAACCAATCAAAATGTTGGCATGTTCAAATAGATCCAGAGGCACCTCAGAAGAAAGTCCTGGTGATCTACTCTGAAAAGTGAGCCATTGAAAATCCAGTGGTACACAGTTGTATTCTGACACACATGAGGTGAGCATGAGTCATAACTGATTCCATGGCAACTGGTTTGGTTGAGTTATCTCAAATATATAGGCTTCATAAACAATAACTTGTGATATAGCTGCTAATGCCATGTTTAACAGGATTTAAGAAAACAGATGAAAAGGTCTTCAATCAATTAATTGCTGTAAGAAAGGATCACATTTTGGTTTATGCTTTAAAAAAATTGTAACAGAAAGAAGTAAACAAGTATGGCTGAGCTGTGGTGGTTTTGGCATGCACTTCTGAGTGTACTGCTACTCATGGCTCAGGGGGTTCCCTCCAATCCTGCCAAAGGGAAGAAGGTATTAGCGGAAAAGGTCAGCCAGCTGATGGATTGGACCAAAAAAAACAGAGTGATAAGAATGAGTGACACCATGTTCTATCATTTTGTACTGGATCCACCAAGAAACTACTCTATGATTGTGATGTTTACTGCTCTCCATGAGTCAAGACGGTGTGAAATGTGCAAACATGCTGCTAAAGAATTTCAGATCTTGGCAAATTCCTGGCAACATTCCAGTACATTCACCAAAAAGGTATTTTTTGCTATGATGGATTATGATAAAAACCCTGAGATCTTCCAAATGATCCAACTGACATCAGTTCCAAGTTTCCTCCACTTTTCTTCTAAAATGAAATTTACATTAGACGATATTTACCCTTTGGAAGGAAGGGCTATCACAGCTGAGCAAATGGCTAAATGGGTAACCAAGAGAACGAACATCAACATCAGAACCATACAGCCTACAAATAATCAAGGTCTCTTCATATTGGGGACAATTTTGGCACTTAGTGGTGGACTTGTATATTTATTTAAAAGGAAGAGGGAGTTTATTTTTAACAAAACTTTGTGGGCAGTTGTACCTCTGTTTTTTGTGACTGTGATGACGTCTGGTCAAATGTGGACTTATATCAAAGGAGCACCCTTTGCTCAAAGGAATCCTCAGACAGGACATGTACACTATATCCACAGAATGAATTACTCTCAGTTTTTAGCAGAAACATATATCATTGCTCTGTTTAAAATGTGCATTTCCCTGGGACTGGTGCTCTTAGATAAAGCTGCCACATCTAGAATTAACATTGTACAGAGGAAGATGCTGTGTTTGATTGGTATATGTCTAGTTGTAATATTCTTCAGTTGGCTGCTTTCCCTCTTTAGATTTAAACAGCCTGGGTATCCCTACAGTTTCCTGATGGACTAAAAAAGATGCTAGAGATAAAGAAATAGAAGCAAGAAAAACTGAAAAACAAAAAGTGTACTGAAACAGAAAAATGTGAAATCATAACTTCTTTAAGCAAATGAGATTTAACCAAAGGAGACATGAAGTACCATGATAAGAAGTCATTTTCTCTCAACATCTGAGCAGTATTATGGTATAGGTCTTTTCTGTTCTCCCGTTTCTCTTCCCAGTAAAGGTTTTTGACTTCCTAACCTGTGAATTCTAATTATTAAAATCCTTAGAGAGTATAACTTTTTCTAATTCAGGTACGCTTCCAGTAACTGGAGGCAAATGTAGAAGTGGTTGTTGTTGTTAAGTACCGTGGCGTCAGTTCTGACTCATAGTGACCCTGCACAGGGTTTCTGAGGCTGTAAATCTTTACAGGAGCAGAATACCTTATCTTTCTCCTGCGGGACAGCTGGTAGTTTCAAACTACTGACCTTGAGGATGGCAGCCCGATTCATAACCACTACGCTACCAGTATGACTTAGTATATGCTCACAAGTCTTTCCTATTGAAAAGCAGTATGCTTCTTGATTTTGTTGTGGTGGTGGTTAAGTGACCCTGTATAGGGTTTCCAAGGAGCTGCTGGTGGGTTTGAACTTCCAACCTTGCAATTAGCAGTCTACTGCTTCTACAGCGACTCCTTGATAGTTGTTCTTGTTGTTAAATACCATGGAGTCGGTTCCAACTCATAGTGACCCTGTACAGGATTTTCAAGGCTGTAAATCTTTACGGGAGCAGAAAGCCTTATCTTTTTCCCACAAAACAGCTGGTAGTTTCAAACTGTCGACTTTGAGGTTAGCAGCCCGATTTGTAACCACTATGCCACCAGAGCGCCTTAAGGTATTATAAACTAAACACCAAGTTATAATTTCTCCACTCGTCTGTCGTGCTGTGGTAGATTGAGTTGCTGTGATTCTGAGGGCTCTGCCACTAGTATTTTAAATAACCAGCAGGGTCACCCATGGTGGACAGGTCTCAGATGAGCTTCCAGACAAAGACAGACTAGGAAGAAAGAGTGATGACCTACTTCCGAATCGCTAGCCACTGAAAACTCTATGAATAGCAGAGAAACATTGTCAGATACAGGACCAGAAGGTGGGAAGGCACGCAGAATGCGACTGGGGAAAAAAACGCCTCCTCAAAGTAGAGTTGACCATGATGACGTGAATAGAGTTAAGCTTGGGGGAGAAAAGCGCACAGAACATTCATTTGCTGATGGGCCACAACTCAAAATGAAGAGAAACAGCTGTAAACATCCATTGAAAATCGGTACTTGGAATGTATGAAGTATGAATCTGGGAAAATTGGAAGTTGTCAAAAATGAAATGGAAGTTATCAAAAATCAACATGGATATCTGATGCATTAGTGAGCTGAAATGGACTGGTATTGGCCATTTTGAATCTGACAACCACAAGGTTTACTATGCAGGGAATGACAAATTGAAAAGGAATGGTGTTGCATTCATCGTCAAAAAGAACATATCCAGATCAATCATGAGGTACAAT